GCGGGCACGTATTATGGCGTTCAGCGATGGCTTTAAAACGTCACTAGCGTGCATAGAGCGAGGGAGAGCAAGTTTTGGGGTTTTGGCGAGGAGACATGCAGAACATGGGGAGGGCGTTTGCCATGGACAGAGAAAGCAGTTTTTGCGCATACAATAACTATGTATGTGTATGCGCCCTCCAAGAATTGTTGTTGGTAATTAGATTGACAAAACACCCAACAATTACACATTACATTTTGCCCTAGATCTGTCAAGTTGGGTAGGTTCGGTGTATAATTTGCCATAGTATATCCACTTTTTCTTTATCAGCAATCATCAAAACTTGTACAAACACAAGATCTTGCCACTATTCCATTCCATTTGTATGCCAAGGTGAGGTAGAATATGCATCTGTGTGAATATTCATCATCATGACGACCATAAAAACCACGGCCTCGACCGCAATCAACATGTCCAAATGCGGCTAACCGCTAACTAATAAGGTCATGGATGAACTCCGTGAACTTACCCAAATATAGTATGGGAATAATCTGAAATGCAAACTGCCAACTTCACTAGAGGGATGGTATCAGCTGTGGAGTTCGTCCCTTGAGAACATCGTAAAACTGCGCACCAAACCACAATTAATATGTTGAAGTACAATTGATCGCTCATTGCTTGATTAGTCAGATTTACTTAGATCACGTGATAATACTGACTTAGATGAATGTTTTAACGTCCTGAATGAAATACATGGGAAATTTTTCTGTTTACCTTGACGTCAAAAGGTCTTGAGTTTGCATTAGGGAGACTAACATTGACGGATATAAGCCTCCTTCCTGCCTTGTAGATAAAGCGAAAACCTCTTTTCAATCATTAACTGAGGGCTTGAATGCCCGCCAGGCGCTGCCATAGTCTTTCACAAACTTCCCAGCTACGGGGATGTTAACAGTGGAGCATTGACTTGACTGTTATTCACTTTCGACGGCCGAGCAACAGTCGAGAGCGCCACCAACTACCTTTATCCACTCCCTATAGGCAATCCCGTAGTTTGGGTGCATTCGCCTTCACTACTTCGTCTCTTCTCTGGGGAGCATTAGACAAGAGAAGTCGTTATTCCCTAGATTTCTTACTCCACATGTATTTCTAGTTACCTATTGTCTATATCTTTATGATTCAGCATATGGGATATCCTGGTGTCTGACACTACCGCCATTTACGAAATATCTCGTGTTCTTGTCACATATTACTTTACACCATCTCGTCGTCCCGACTCTTTTCAGATTCTGAGAATACCTCCTCTATTTCATATGCGACTCCATGCTGCTGGACAACCCTAGGGGAAGCCTTATAGAGGAGATTGAACGTCATGCCGGTCACTGGGTGCGTACATTATATATCGTTATTACTGCTACCGTCCTTCCTAGGTCTCTAACATCAGCCAAAAATATTTAAAAATATTTAAAAAAAAATGCAGCTTATATTTCATCCCGGCGAACCAAAACTTGCCCACGGTCACAGGGACCATGATTGAGCGCCTTCGAGCCGCATATAACCCAGCCCTGTCCGGGCGCTGGGCTCTCGAACACAGATTACTACGAGATACGCCCTCATGCCTACCACCAAGTGACTATGCGCCTTTACCACCACTACAACCCCGCTTCATGCAGTTTGTCTTCTTCAGCCACCGCCAGCCGTATGGATTCATATATATCTCCGACCGCCCCGATCCGGACCCATGGGAGGCGGCAGCTTCCGGCACAGCAACAGCACATGCAGTCAGCGTACAGCAGCAGCAGCAGCAACAACAACAACAACAACCCCCCACCCAAAAGCCCGACCCATTCCCACCAGCCTCCAAAACAATGATGATCCTGGATTACCCCTCATACATCTCCTTCCACGCCATAACGCTGCGCGCTTGCGAACCCCTCTGGTGCCCGCGCCACACCATCACGGTACCGAACGGCAGCTCCTTTGAAATCGGCGATTTCCGCATCCGCATCGGCGACGTGCGCCAGACAGCGCCCCAAACACGCATGCGCGGGACGATTGTCGAGATCGAATATCGCGGTCCCGCCGGTGCGAGTGATGTCAACGCGGGGACTACTACTGGCTCAGCAGCGAATGGGGATGGTGATCTGATGGCGGTGAACGGGACGTTGCTCGCGGACGACAATGTCGATCGCGATGGCAATGGCGACGGCAACGGCGATGAGGATGGCATTATATACCAGCGGTTCGAAACGTCATCCTCATCGCCACCGTCGGCGCTGCCGATTGAGGATCTTCCGACGGACGAGGATTGGGAGGTTGGGGAGGCGCTTATTCGGGAGTTCTGGGGGCGGTTTGCGGTGGAGGGTTCGCGGGAGGTGATTCGGGTGCCGCATCTGGGGAAGGAGGTGAGGGAGGCAAGGCGGATGGGGAAGTTGGAGGATAGGGAGGTGAATTCGAGGATTGCGGGGGTTGATCTGGCGAGGCAGTATATGGAGGTTTTTAGGTTTAATCGGTGAGCGGATGGTGGGTGTGATGTGCGGGTCAGTCATTGTTACTGCACGGTTGTTGTTGTTTTTGGCATGTATGAGCGAAGGAGTTTTGAATTTGTGCTTGTTGAGGTTTCTATGATTAAATATTTCTATTTAACCCGTACGGTGGGTATCTACCTGGGTCAAACATTCCACGTTAAGAAGATATGCTTAAATGTATGAAAAAACAGCCAACATATAGTTATACCTTCATAATTTAGTAATTATTTAGATACGGAGGGAGTACTTCGGTACCTAGGTTGTTACCCGGTAGTTGAAAGTTTGGTCAAAAGCAAGTAAGCCCTGTTTTGTTAGAACCCACCACACTCACCTTGAGTTGAAAAGGTGGGGGAATATTTGCTCTATTCTGCTGTCTCAGCATATGCATGTATTCAATAACAGTGATGCTAACATATAGGCATGGGCACGACTAGCATCAATTCCTTAATACCAAGATTTATGATGTCAAGCGTGATATACGATGCAGATTGATTTGATTGTTGACTAAGGTTGTTCGAAAAGTAATAAGGGAAATAGATATAGAAAAGAAAAGCTAGGTAGACAAGATAAATGTAGACCATTGTGCTGAGTATTATTTCACCAGGGGCCATTTCAAACTGTTCATCCATTGCAAACCTTCAATTCGTTAGACGCAGCACACACGCTCGAAACTTCCTGCTGAGAATCGGACTTCGAGAAAAGCGTATAAAAAGGAAACAACATCATCTCTGAACCAAAGGGGAAATATGAATGAAATAAGACAGAAAGCTAAGCAGGAGTGAACTGCCAGGGTTACTAGAGTGGACTTTATATTTTTCTTTCATTCTTCCAAGTTGCCATTCTATCATTCCTGGTGCGCCTTTCTCATCAGGGTACTCATGGGTCCAATTGAATTTGCACTTCTCGACATCATCCTCAGTACTTAAAACATTACTAACATTCGCTGACACGAAGGATAAATACCATTTCGCAATCCGCTGAGTTTGACTCAACATAGGACAGTTAAGTTGGGTAGGACAATGACAAACGTAAATCGAACCCTCGAAGCTTCAGGGCGCAGAAGGGCCATATAAAAAACATTGCTTATTTCTGCATCATAAGCTGAACGAACTCGTTGTCTACATTTTTGGAAAAGAAACCCAAATTAGATATCAGTCCGTTCATATGCGTTTGGCACTTGATGAAGTATTGACTCACAGTCGATTCGGCCATCGCCATCCTGATCTGCCTCACGGATCATCTCATCAACCTCATCATCTGTCAACTTCTCTCCGATCGAAGTCATAACATGACGTAACTCAGCAGCGGAGATAAACCCATTGTTATCGCGATCAAACACTTTGAAAGCTTCTCGAATCTCTTCCTCGGAATCCGTATCTTTCATTTTTCGTGCCATCATAGTCAAGAACTCTGCGAAACCGCGAGAGTAGTTAGAAAATCGAAGATATCATGGTAGTCAGCTGCACGCCACGCCATACCTGGGAAGTCGATGGTTCCGTTATTATCTGCGTCAACCTCGTTGATCATGTCCTGTAACTCTGATTCGGAAGGATTTTGTCCCAAAGACCGCATCACAGTTCCGAGCTCCTTTGTGGTGATTTGTCCTTAAACCAAGTAGCAGACGTCAGCCCAGGATCTCCACTTCGAACTATCGATTTGCTGCCCATTCCATAGGCTTCTTGTAAGCTGCACAGTAGCGATAATACTAACCATCGCCATCTTTATCCTATAAACGTGGTACTGGTGTTAGTCATTCTCTGGGGGTAGTACTGTAAACTGGGGTGAGAGGGCCAAGTGCAAAAAGCGTGTCTTACGAATAGAGAGAAGGCTTCTTTATATTCAGAAACTTGCTCTTCAGTCAAAGAGTCGGCCTATACATGCAATTATGGAGCATTAGCAGCTGGGCAACCTGATGATTTTGGCACTTTGATATCAAGGGTTCCAACCCCTCAGCGGTGAGGAGGGGTAGGGCGAGGAACCTCCAGCTGCGGAGTAAAGAAACACGCACCATAGCGAGAGATATGTGAAATAATAGTAGATTAGGAGGACGAGTGTACACAGAGGACGTAGAATACCACAAACAAATAGTCAAGAGAGAGGAGATAGTAGACACTGGGCAGAGGAGTGAGAGACAGGATGGCTGGGATGCTGCAAATGTGTGGGGAGAGTGTAAAGGACAGGGGATGTGGACCTGCATGCCACGTGACTTCGCCCCTCTCCCCTCGCTTGGCCCTTTGCGCCAAGAAGAACTGCCACGCGCATTTCAAGGAAAGAAGAGCCTCATTCAACATCTCCCCCAATCTCGGTCCATCTCAGCCAACCTTACATTGCTCATTAACGCTGGACTGTGTACAAAAATTGAAACAGGAGGTTGTTTCGGTGTTAAATGCTATCTCTCTGCCTGTATTCCTGCTATTCTTGTGTGCCTAATAAGACTCTGACCTTAAAACAAGCTGCTACATAGTATGTCAGAGAGAGCCTGCCCCTGCAGGCATTTCATAGTAACCGAATTTTCGGGCTGGCTATGATCTTTATATGATCCCCGGGATTCTCTGTGAGCTCTTTGAACCCCTTCTCCACGATCTCATCTAAGGAGATACGGCGGGTAATCATCTTTTCTACCCCCGCAAATCGCCCTAGTTGCAGTCAGCACTTTTCTCGATTTTTACATGGACGTATGATCATCGTACGTACCTGAGCCAAAGGCAGCTACCACTTCTTTGAAGTCCGTCTCGTCATACGCCAAGAAGGTCTTGAATGTTAGCTCCTTTAGTAGGAAGTGCTGAAAAGGGAGCGTCACCTGGGAATATAGAAGTTAGCCCCCTTACCCAACACACAGCGCAGCAAGCTCACCTCGTACTGGAGCTTTTGGAATTGCCAGATTGATATAAGTGCCATGCACCCTGAGGCTATCGCAGCCATGTTCAAATCCTGACTGGGCCCCGGCGCAATCGATTACTATTTCCACCCCAGCTCCGCCCGTGAGTTCCCTGCATTTCTCCACAAATATTGACCTCTGTAGGATCAAAGGCAGCGTGAACAACGTCAGCCAGAAATTCCCGACGGCGCGCAGCCTTCTCAGACACCAATATCATATCGCAACCCTCTGCCTTTAATACAAATACCGTGGCCACGCCAATAGGCCCTGCACCAATGACCAAAACGGAAGCATTTTTCAAATTGCTAAGTCCCACTGCGTTTGACAGCACGCCAGGCAACCGCCAGGGGCTCGATCAATGCTGCTGCAGCCAGGTCAGTCCCTTCCGGAAGCGGATGGAGCATGGCCGGGTGAACAGAAACCATTTCAGAAAGGCCCCCTCCTCCCCCAGACAGACCCAGAGATCCCACATGTCTGCAGCAGTTCGTTGCCGTCTCCTTACATGCAGGGCAAGATGAGCAGAAGAACCGCGGATCAATGGCTACTGGCTGCCCTGGGACGAGAGAGGATGTAGGTGGTGCCCGAACGACTCGTCCGGAGAACTCATGACCCAATGTGACTGGCAACATCTCGCCAGTAATATGATGAGGTCCGTTCTTTTCGTCAGGGATTGCGTAGGGTCCTAAAGTTGACATGGTTAGAGCCACTCGACCACTGTAAATGACAAGTCAACAAAAAGAAGGGGCCCATGATCAGAAGCAACTAATCCGTAAAATACGCGACCATTATCCCTCACCTCGAACATATTCATTGAGGTCGCTTCCGCAAATTCCACACCATTCTACTTCCACCAGAACCTTATCATTAGTTGCTCGCGGCGGGTCCACATCCTCAACACGGATATCTCCTGCAGCATAGAAACGTGCTGCTTTCATATTGAGATTAAAAGGGTAATGGTCGTTGTTCGGTCTAGATAATACACAATCTCAAGCTTCTTAAGGGGAGCTAAATGGCTAAAGAGATCTATTTAAAACTCCCGATACCCAGGTACTTGTAGAGCCTTGAGACACCTGCTTTCGATGCTTCGTTGACTGGGCTGGTAGCTCGGTACTCGGGTTCTCAGTGCTCAAAACATCGGCTAAACAATCAACAATTGCCCATTCAATTATTACCATGCAGCTGAAGAACCTGCCATTTTCCCCGGTGCGGGGTTAATCTCCTGCTACTGATTTGCCACACAATAGGGCTATTTGTTTATTAAGCTAGCGAAAGAGGGTTAGCTAAGTAAGACAGATCTTTCTGTATTCCTTAGCGAAAGGCATACCAGTTCGACTCTATGGCTGGCAAGTATATATATAAAAGTGTAACAGACTGATATTAAACTACAGATTTTTTGGATGTATGGAGCAATCCGCCCATTCTTCTATATTTCTACCCAACTCTAACTGGTTTGTTGATTGGTTATGGAGAAATTTGTCACAAATTCAATTGATGAACGAGGAATTGTTGGATGAGAACACCCAGGGGAGCACGCGGCCTCCACACGCCTCCATCTGAGAGTTTGTAAATCTGCGCATCTATGGCGAACAAGCTATAAAGATATTCAAAATGTTAGGCGTTGATACCAGATCCGGGATTTTCCATTCCTACCATATCATGTTCGCCTTTTCGTCTATATCCAGAAAATCCCCCAGAACTTAGAATTTATAATGTGTTCTGCGCACATTTTCATAGTACGGTACCACGACTAAATTCGGATCGTTCGTCTTCCCAACCATCGCAGCTGTAAGTGGATGAATCGGCTTATCATCAACAATCAAATTGATACAACGAGGCCCCTTCACCTCCCGCATCTTCCTAATCACACCCTCAATATCCTCAATCTTCTCCAACTTCGCGCTCGCATTCTCCATCCCCTTCGCAACAACGTCATATTCCAGCAAAGGGCTGAGCGAACTGATAGGTCGTGCCGAATTCTCCTCCCCATACACCAACTCCTGCCCATTCGAGCTCATACCCCAGCAGTAATTGTTCACGACGATAGTCACGATATCAAGATCAAACCGCTTATAAGTATCGAGTTCCATAAAATGGAATCCTGCGGAACCGTCACCGTGGAGATTAATCACCTTGCGGTCCGGCGCCGCGATGGCTGCTCCCAATGCGTATCCGAAGCCGTTGCCGAGGAACCCTAAGTTCCCAGTTGACTTGATCACTGCGCTAGGTGAGCAGAGGGATAGAACCTCCCCGGCCCAGAGGGCCGCTTCGCCACCATCGAGGATTATGATGCTTCCGTGCTCGATGGCCGAGAAGATGTGTTTGAGGGCGTGGTAGGGGTGTAGTCTCTTCGATGACGGATTGACTTCCGGCTGCTGCTCGAACGGTGTGGGAAGTTGTTTTATCGACAGCGCACTCCAAGTCAACTGTACCCTTAAATGGGGCATCGTTGTTGTGACGGTTCAAAGCAGTGACGAACTGTGCCACGTCAGATACAGCACCTAGGTCGACTGGGAGTGTGCGTCCGATTTCCGCCCCATCAACGTCAACGTGAATCAGTTTGCAATTTTCTTTGGGGATTATTGTCCCAGAGCGACCGCCGAGATACATACCCGTTCTCCCGCCCAAAAGCATGATGAGGTCTGGCCGCTGTTTTCCCATCATGGGAAGAATGGCGAGTTTCCCCGCTGGTCCGCCGTAAAGTTCGAATTGTGGGGGGATGGTAGACATCATGCATTTTGTTGTGTCGAAGATGGGTATGCCACACGCTTGGGAGAGTTTGGTCAGTTGTTCTCCAGCCTTGTTGGGAAGTTAGCTGTCGAGCTAGGTAAAGTATAGGAAGAGAGCAGTGGTAATAATCTTATACCTCTTGCGATGAATTCCCTCCCGCACCAATAATAATCGCGGGCCGCTTTGCGGAACCGATAAGCCTAGCTGCTTCCTCCACAGCGCCGGTATGCGGGCCGGGAGCAAAAGATAATGGTGAAGAAATAGATCCCCATGATATCAATTGTTGACACACAGGTGAGAAGAACACGTCGATAGGAAAATCAACAAGAACAGGACCTATTTTGGAAAGTAAAGATGTGAATAAGTGAGCTCTATTCTCATTACAACCTCTTCGTAGATTAATTTCCACCTACCTGGAGCGCCAGACATCGCAACACGGATAGCATGTGAAATAATCCTGGGTGTGTCTTCCGGGTTGGTCATTCGATAGGCAAACTTGGTCAGCGGCTTTGACACAACGATCTGGTCAATAATACCCTGTGGAGAATTGCTCTCCGCATCCCGTAGCGGCAGGGACGAGGTGATGCAGAGAATAGGGGATCGATCTGCCAACGCTGTCGCGAGACCAGGGAGGCCATTCGAAAACCTTTTATCCTTCCCCTCCGATTAGCACAGCTACATCCCCTGGATCTTCCAAAGCAGGAAGTGTATTGGAAGATTTTCCTTGTCTGTCGAAGTCCCTCACCCGCTATTAGCAGTCACGAAACAGACACCAATATTCTTCGTGAATTTCGCGTGAGACTCAGCAGCCTGGACAGCTACCGTCTCATGGCGTGTGTCAACGAGGCGAATACCTGCGAACTCACAGCCCATGAGAAAAGCGTCGAGGTGACCGCCATGAAGTCCAAAGGTAACTTCGACGCCGGCATGTTTGAGTGATTGTGCCAGGAGATCTCCACCTGTTAGCTCCCGTGTTTTGGGGTCCTTGAGAGCGAATGCTACCATTTCTCTCTTCAATAGTACTTATTCTTCTTCTTTGGGTAAATGGTTTCTCCTGCTTGGATTGACTTATCAATTTCGTGGTTTTCATCAGTAGGATGCTGTAAGTTTCAACAAATATTAAATAACTATGCCAGCAGTTAAATAAGAGGCTAGTTCATTCTTCCCTAATAACCGGTTGCCGAGGGAGGACTATTCCAAAAAATATAGATTGTGGTTTCTCCAGGCTCTGCCATCACAATGGTCACGTTTCAATGCCTGAATACCTGAGCAATTCAATCGTTGGTGGTCTTTGCAAGAGGATATGGAGCAAATGTGGGGTAATGTGGTTAATCCGTAGTTTTCGATGTAACAAGCTACTCCGCAGTTATGATATCACGACGGCGCCACATGTAGCGGACCCATAGTTAATTAGGAGACAATCCGGCAACGGGAACCCCCCCAGACGACAATCTCTTGCCATTCACAAATCTCACTAAGGTTCGTCGCAAAGCACACTCTGTCTCTCAAACCTTGAAACTCTTTTGAGGTACTCAGTTGTGCTTTTGGTGTCGTAGAAGAGGTGGGGATCATATAGTTTGATCCACCCACGTATATTCTTGTTCGGTATGAAGGCCAAGTAACTAACACTTGCACAGAAACTTAGTCTCCATACGAGCTTCAAACTGGAGGCTAGCTTTCAACTTATTGTTCAGCTGTGCGGAAATTTTCAAGTTTCAGACTTTCAAAAATTATAATCATGACACCCTCAGATAGCAGCACAAGGTGTGGCACTTTCCATACCTGCTATCATGCGGATATAAGCGTTCCCTTTGCTCCAGAGTCGCGGTTCGCTGAAGCCTCAGTTTCATATTTCCCTTGCCATATATGCTCATACTACCATAAATGAAGATATTGGATATCCTCAGCAGCAATGGGCCACCGTGGATTACCTGGAATCAACCTGGATAGCCTGGTGCTTTTATTCTGGCCTGACTCACAGCCGGACACCTTCTAACCCAGACGCTGCCCCAGTTGAGCCGACAATAAAAGCATTTCGAGAACAAATCCACCATCGAGCACTTAAGATGTCCCTATCCTGCGAATTCCCATCAGTACAGGCACATTGGTGAAGTCGAGCCGGGGGCCCTCTAGCACCGGAGATGGCTGTCGTCGCCAGGAGCATTGAAGAAGCCCCGATGGCTTCCCCCGTCGACTCCTCCAATACATTCCAACATGCATAGAATATCGATGCGTTCTCGGTGAAACAATATACTCTGCCTGGGAAAATCATGTCAATTGGTAACAAGAAATGATTAGAAAGTGAGTGATGAAGAACCTTGAAATACAATCGTTGCATAGCGCTAGTCCGCATTGGTGCAAGCGCGTTGTCAAAGCCAAATCTCCGGAATATTTACCTCCATCCTTTATCAGCCTCCAGCGCTTCAACGCCCCAAACCTACCATTTCCGCATGTTGCAACGGCTTGCGTAAGGCATTTTGGCGTAATCCTATCTGTATTTCTATGTTGCTCGATCTAGGCGGAGCATCTCATGACCATCGTCCATCATGATAGGATACCCTCTGATGTTCTGCGCATTGACAACACCAACTTCAGCTAAATACCAGCCACCGCTCTTCCTCCTACCTACTTATACACCAAGCTTTGTCCCCCTGTCTCTTTAAATATGTGGCGAGACCGCACTAATTTGTAAGCCCTCTGTTGTCTGCAATCAGATAGATTCCCTGCTAACCATTTCGCTGCGGCAGATACATCTCATACCGTCAATCCTTCGCCCACCACCCCTCAAAAAAGCCGCGATATCTCGGAGCTTGGAATAACAATGCGGACTCGTCGTCGATATCAGAAGAGCGTCGCGGACTTATGTCCGGCGGCGGATTTGAAGATGACGGCGATGCCATCATTGAAATGGACCTCCTTCCACCCCGATGGGTCGATATCCAAGACGAAGTGACTGAAATATTGGCCGGAATCGCCCAGAAGTCTGCCCGGTTGGATAAACTCCATCAGAAACATGTTTTGCCCGGATTTGGAGATGAGGATGCCAGAAAGGAAGAGGAAGGTGTGATTGAACAATTGACGCAGGATATCACCCGGGCTTTCCACGATTGCCAGCGCGCGATCCAGAGAATCGAGGCGATGGTCAATGTACAGAAGCAACAGGGAGGAGTTAGCAAGGGGGATGAAACGATGGCGAAAAATATTCAGATATCACTTGCCGGGAGGGTTCAGGAAGCCAGCGCCGGCTTTAGAAAAAAGCAAAGCACATATCTGAAAAGTAAGCGCATTTCCAATATGCGGAACAGCTTTCACTGCAGATTAACTAATATCTTTGCTCGAATACAGAATTACGGAGCTTGGATGGAATGACACCGCTGGAGCGGTCTGCAACGCCTGTACAAAACCCATATATGGATCCCTCCCTAATAGAGTCTGATGCCGACAAATCCTACTCACAATCAACCCTCCTCCAAACATCCCAGAAGCAATTACAGACCAATGATGCCGTCATACTCCAGCGCGAGCGCGAAATCAATGATATCGCGAGGGGAATTATAGAATTATCTGATATTTTCCGTGACCTACAAGCCATGGTTATAGATCAGGGCACTATGCTCGACCGCATCGATTTTAATGTCGAGCGGATGAACGTAGACGTAAAAGCGGCGGATAAGGAACTGACAGATGTAAAATTTCCCTTTTATTTCCGTTTACTATCTCTAAGAAATCAAAAAACAAACTAACCATATCACAAAACCAAACAGGCAACCAGCTACCAAAAACGCACCACGAAACGCAAAATTCTTCTCCTCCTAATCCTCCTCGTCGTGGGCATGTTTATCCTCCTCCTTGTAAAACCCAAACGAAGCAGCAACTCATCCCAGAACCCTCAGCGGAACAACCAACGAAAGAAACTATTCCCAAAGACAAAACATTCAGCGGTGTCATCGGTCCGGGCGGCCTAGCCAATAAAAATCCTCGAAGTTGATGGACGAATCACTGAGCCGCCCAATGGAAATGCTTGCAAGGAGTTTCGTTGCTATATAGAAAACCAGGATATGGGCAGCTTGTGAGAATGCAGACAGACTTGGTTTGTCAGATGTTTATCCTCCTTGTAAAACCCAAACGAAGCAGCAACCCATCTCCCGCCCCGCCCCGGGACCAGCCCCTCCACAATCAGTTTCACAACGAATACAACGGCTACAAAAACGATAACCTTCGAGCGGATCAACCCTACGACTATCTCTATGCCCGCAGATCCGCATCACCCTCTTCATCACCCTCTCATTTGCGTCGTAATCGGAGAAACCGTTTCCGAGGGATGCTTGAATCGATACGCCAGATATATTGAAATGCACTGACTAATGATAATAATGTAGATACCTAGCAAGCGTGCGCGGTTTAGCTATTGCTTTTTTACTTTCTTAATATTTTTAACGCTTTTTCTTGTTGTGAACAAAGCAACGCAAATCCATCCATTCATTTGCGCTGATTCTCTCTTTTTACTCTTTCTCTTCGGTTTTCCCATTCCTTCGACGTGTATGAGCATCATATGTAAATATATATCACCCAGATCTACAATCACTGAAGAAACAAACTAGCACTGTGCAGAACAATATTATACACGGCTTCCAAGGGGAAAAACGGAGGTGTCTCATAGAAGTAGAGGAATGTTCATTTCCATTAACATACATACATACATACATGCATGCATGAAATGAGATTGAGAAAAGGAAAGGGGGCCAGGGAGATGGGAAGCAGGAACACGTAGGGGTAACAAAAGCTACTAAACCACTTGACCAACCACACCAACTCGCCCAATGGGAATGAACACGCAGGCCAATGAAAAAGACTAAATCTTCCGTAGTTATTAAAGAAGGGGAAAAAGGCCCAACGTGAAATAGCAAGAGGCAACGACGACACAAAACAACCACATGGCTGAGAAAGAAATACAAACAGAAGCAAGCAGAACCCAAAAAAAAGGAGTCGAAAAATAGAAGAGACTAACATCCCTTTCCGAAACCTCCCGTTCATTAAGGAATAAAAAAGGGGGAAAAAAATAAAGTTAATACTTACTCCCCTCCTGCCTCAACAGCTCCGCAACATCATCATCCAACTCCTCCATAACATCCCCTCCAGCTGCAAACCCCATATACTCATCCTGCTGCGTATGCGAAACCTTCCGCTTCTTCGCACTCGAGCCGTTCGCAGGACTCTCCGATGTCGATGGCTGCTGCGGTCCACCATGAGCATGAGCATGGCCATGTAGCGCAGCGAGGGTCGACGTCAAATCCGGACTGATGGGCATGGGCATCTGCATGGGCACTGAAGTCTCTGGGAGGGATGTTTCTGCTAGAAATGGCTGTTGCTGCTGTTGTTGTTGTTGTTGTGACTGTTGCTCAGCAGTATCCGGCTGACCAAGTTCATAGCTACTTGGCGGAAGTTGATTGGGAGTTGGGGATCCGACGGGCGTGAGAGTCTCGACTGGAGGTGGTGTTAGCGCTTCGACGACGGGACGTTCGGGCTCTTCGCCAATCTGTGTGGGTGCTGTCGATTCCGCATTGCCGGTTTCATGCCCACCGCCATTCCCATGCGATGCCGGCGAATTCTCTACGGACAAGCCGCGCATAATCGCATCTTCAACGTCCCGCCTCTTACTCTCCGTCTCAATTTTCCGTGCCGCTAATTGCTCGGCCTGTGCCTGTTCCTTGTGTAGGGCCGCGCGGTTTGCATCCAGCAGCTTTTCCAGCCCCTGTATCAAAATCTGGCGTGACTTAATTATTTCGGAAACTGAGCTTTCTGCATTCGCTAATGACTTTAGAAGCTGGCTTAAGCGCGCGGCATGGACGGGTGGGGTGGGGATCTGTGCGGATGGATCGTGCATTTTATCATATTCGGCGTTGGCGGCCGTGACAGCCGCAGATGAAGATACTGTGGCTTTAGAGACGGCTATTTGAAGTGGAGCTAGTGGCTGTAGCTCTGGTGGAATTGACCCGGGCGAGCTAGCAAAGAGGGAGCCACCTAGCAATGGCTTTTTGCTGGATGATCTGGATTTGTCCACTTCTATTGGGAATAGTTAGCTGGATGGGGGTGTGATAAATTATGTAGGGGAGGTGTCAACAAACCATCAACTCGAGCCTCTACCGCCTGTTGGATAGGCTCCTCGAAAATGTGCCGTTGTCGCCAAACCTCAACCACACGCCTTAACTTTTGTTGCACGTCACTGGAGGCTCCTTTGTAGGCGGTTGCGGTTGCATCGGCGATAATCTAGAGAAGGGATGTTCAGTGACAAAAAGAGGAAAACACAACACCAGATCTAACTCACTGGAGAGAAGGCAATGAGGAAATCCTCCTTGCGTCGTGCTTTAGACTGTTGCGCGACCTCTGTAGAATGGAAGGAGTTAGGATTAGGTCTCTATCTGAGCCGTACAAGTGGTATGGATAAACCAACCATTCGCCAGATATATCAGATTCAGCCGCTTGGGACCATTTGAATCGCGAAGTTTTTGTAGCCAGAGCTGAGCCGTACGATCTGCATGTCTCCTATAAGGTACAATTCAATTTAGTAATGCTGTTTAGGTAGCATGGAGTTGGAGGAGCAAAGCGGGAGAATTAGCCCACCTGTGAAACATGACCCATTGGGCGACTGTGACGATGGATTCCTGAGTCTCATTGAGGGCTGATAACTTGGCCTTGACGGCATCGTCGGTGTAGGCCATTGGAGGGTGTGTTTTGGACTTGAGATGGGCGTGCGGAGGGGGTGAGCCGAGCTATCAAAACAAAGGAGGGAGAGCTCTGTTTGTTGAGGAGACGACGTTGAATGGCGATCAGATGTTGGATGGGAAAGACACAGGTGAACGCAAAGGGTGTAAGACAGCTGAAACACAATGTAGAATACAAGAGAGCGGAATGAATATTCTTTGAACAAGTCAATATTTTTTGCTTGTCATTGCTGTTTGAGGTATCAAGGTAGGCAACAATAACAAATGAACAAGTCGGTAAATAAATAATATATAGCTGGTCGTTAGTTATGATTTAACTAAAAAGTCAAGTCAAAACTATAAGGTAAACCCACTCACCGCCCGGCAGAATCCCCTGCCCCGAGTTTCCTGCTGCGACTTCATTCAACTTGTTCTTTGTCTCTCTCTTGTTGGAGAATACAGATATCTTAACATGTAAAACAACCAAATACTTTCGACTAGCATCCTTCACGCTGACTCTATTTGCCGATATCCACCCCACAATTGGCTTCCCAGTCCACATCCTTCCTCCACAACCCCCTTTCTCTCCTTTCAACCTACCTCGTCAAATGGCTGACCGATTCCCATCTCTCGACGACTTCTCCGCCGGTATGGCCTACTTATCTAACAAAACCCAAAGATCTCCGCATCCTAATGTATCCATCCATGTATACAAAGAAACAGCTTCTCTAACTCTGCAATTTTCAAATACAACTAGGTCAAACAGAACCCTCTGGCACCATTGGCAGTCCCACCGGAACTGCTAGTAGCGAAGACTTTCTAGCCCGCGAACGTGCCCTCCTGGGTGAAGATGCGGATCAGTTTGCCACGCCAAACGACCAACGACTCCAAACAGCTGCGACAGTGCAAGATGCTGGAGATGATGGTATGCTAGTGGTTGGTGGTGGAGGGGAGAACCTTGAAGGTGTAGAGGCAGTTGGCAGATTTGACTCGTCATTTCCAGCCCTAGAATCACAAAATGAGGTATATGCTGAATCGCATTACTGTTGCTGAAATGCGAAAAGGGAATATACAGCACTTTCTAACCGCATATTCTCTTTTAATCTGTAGCAAGTCGCACCGGGCGGAACCATCACAGGCACATCCTCCGCCTTCCAATCGTCATACTCCACATACAAGCAACCAGAAGAAGAAACGGAAGCAATTCGGTAGGTCCCATCCCATTCTCCTACGCCTCCCAAAACAACCAAACAAAAACCAAACCACACCACACCTTCTAACCCTTCCCCCCTCAGTGAATGGCGCAAAAAACGCGATGAAGAACTCGCTCGCCGCTCCGCCGCCTCCGCCGAGCGTAAAGCAGCCACAATCACCAAGGCCCAGCAGGATATCGACGACTACTACGAATCATATAACAAGCGCACAGACCGCGCCAAGGAGCGCACGCGAAATGAGGCAGAGGATTTCCTTGCTAACCGTGAAGATACGGCGGCGGGAGGCACGAGTTGGGAGCGCATTGCGAAGTTGGTTGATGTTAGTGGGAAGGGATCGAAGGGGGGTGCGAGTGGGTCTGGGAAGGAGAGATTTAGGGAGTTGCTGATTGAGTTGAAGAAGGACGAGGGGGCGCCGGGGGCTGCGGGGGTTTAATGGATTTTGCGTCGTGGTGGTGGTGGTGTGTTGTGAATGGGATGGGTATGAAAAGGAGGCGGGAGATGGTAATAGAATGGAGTTGAATGGCAAGATTCGATGTTATGTTGTCTGTGCATCCACGCGTGAGAGCAGAAGAACGATGTGATAATCGAATCCCATGCCAATATTGACTACGGAAACGGAAGGGCAACTGAACCGATATGTGGATGGCAATGGATAATTTGTCTGGCCTACCAGGGTATATTTCGGTATAGCAGAATACATGCCAGCAAAGTGTTGTGCTGTGATGCTGCTTATGGATTGTCAAGCGCCTCGAGCACCCGCTCCGATTTTGAGTCCATTACTTATCCATATAATCTCATAGATCGATACTGTCCACCCGTCGACTCATCCATCCAATTCCCGGTCCTTCTTCCAACTCACCCTTCTCCACTTTGCCCTTCCCCAATGGGCGTTTCCTCGAATTTTCCTCCATTTCTTTAATCCTGGTTCTAGGGTGTGTCTTGGCTTTCTTGGTTTCTGTCTGTTCCTATAGTTTAGCTCTTTACGGATGGTTTCCTGCAATTCAAGTCTTACTATAATTATTTTGTTAGAGAGGTTCTTCTAGGTTTTCTTGTCACGGTTGCTTGGCAGGATGGCTGGCACAGGAATCATCAGGGAGAGTTGTTGAAAGGGGTAATAATCAAAACTTGTTTCTCAAATGTTACTTCAACAGAGATGTGTGAATGGGAGGGCAAAGAGTAAAATTATGACTGAAACCAGGGGCATCTACATGAATGGAAAGATATCAAAGAGTGAGCTCAACAGAAGAACAGAGGCATAGATGGGTGGGCGTACAGTTGAACTTGGTTTTAAAATTTGCCCGGAACAACAACCTTTGGCGTCGTTTAAACATTTTTCATATCTCACACATTTCTAACGCACGTCTCAGTAGGCCTTGATGGTAGTTAGTATTTTTACCATATCTCTCAGGTTCTTGTCCTTATAACTAACTCTAATCCTTAGCCCTCATCCTAACTAACCCTGGTGTTGAGGGCGGCGAGGGTGGTTAGAGATGTATTAACAGGATGTGTGGTGCCAAAATATGTAACCTTGTGTTTAATTTTAGATTGGGTTAACTGAGTTGGTTTGATCCGAGTCGATCAAGGTTTTAGAAAAAGGGGGTCATGTAAACGGTTATCCCGTATCGGAGGAGTGATAATAAAATCACATGCTTCTCTATTACAATGCTGCAAAATATATAGTGTAATTCCCCAAATGGAAAAACTTAAAGATACATATGAGATTGTTCATCTACATAAATTATGTAAGGGAAATAGCGATATTGCATGACATTATTATAGATTAGAGATATTTAAGAGATCTCCATAACTGCAGTATTAAATCAACTTAGGTATCTTCAATGTTTTATTTCAATGCATCGCAATATCTTTAACTTGTAATAAAAATGAAACAAATTCAATAGAAATAAAGGAAAGAATTGAACTTATAATATTTGTTATTTAAAAATTAAAAAAATCTTCTATTTGAATAAATTTTAAAAGTAAATAAATAAAACTTATTCTCTTGGTTGATATTTATTAAAAATTTGATTAACTAATTATCTTTTATTTTATAGTATTCAATTTTAACTTTTATAATTTTGATAAATATTGAAATACAAGTTAAATACATACTGCATATAGTTAGCTTTGATATTATGACTTTAAATATTATAATTATAATTAAATTAAATATAAAAATTAAAAAAATTAAAGTCAATTTAAGATTTTTAAAAATATAATTATTCAGAATAAGATAGAGTACATACAACTTTAACAAAATAAAACTTAAATAGTTAAAACATTATATAATTATATACTATCAGTATTAAGTATCTAAAATCCGAAAATTATAACTATGATTAAAATTTTTATTTAATTAAACTAAATTTCTCAATAGTTTAATATTTACTTTTATATATTTTTTAAAAAATTAATTAAGTAATTTTAATTATATTAAATTCTTCAAAAATTAAATAACTTTTATCAATGTATAAATAAAACTCTAAAACTTATACACATTCTAAAAACTGTCTCAAAGTTTGTTGAATAAAATTAATTGAATTATTAAAATTTTTAAATATAAATTGATTAAGATCATTTTTATAAAAAGTAATATATAAATAAATTTATAGTAAATAAGAAAAAAAACTAAATAATAAATAAGATCTAGTCTTTAAATCCAACATGAAAAGTATCTAATCAGAGAAGAAGCTATTGAAGCTATTATTTTACCAGTTGAGTCTAAACAGTTAGTTTTTTAATTTCATTATCTTAAAAGTTTAGATCACATTTATAAGCACTACAAAGATGCAGCAATTGCGACACACTGAATTATTCTAGAGTGATATGTTCTAAATCTAAAGTTTAATTTAATTTAATTCAATTAGGGATTATTTGAATCTAGATATTTCACGTTGAGATCTAGATAGTTGAGTTGTGGTAGTTTTGGGGGCTTTGCTGGCAGTGGATTACATTACGTAAGTATAACTAACTCACTTATGAGTAAGAAGTTTCCAAGATTTTGTTGCGTATCTCAAACCCCTGAGTGCAACGACAAAAAGTAACCTGAGATGAAAATGGAAATAAAGAAAGTAGGAATGGGGTAAATTCAAAAAGGCTAGATGGACATATCCAGCCATCGGAACATTTGCATGTGTACACCAGCATCTAGATCAACAAAGGAAAATCTTTCCCCCTTTTTATTTGTGTGCAACATCTCAACCACTTCCTTGCCCCCACTCACCCTCTTCCGCAGTCGCCAAGGTTGGCCAGGGTAGAATCCGTATCTGGAATGATAGCACGGCTTTCAACCATGCCCGAAGAGGAGACTTTATCCATCTCGTGGTATAAGAGATCATGTTAAGTGGGGACTCCAAGAATGGCGCGGAGGAGGGTGAGAAGGGGACGGAGTCAAAAAAGATGCTCCGATCTGTTACTGGAACTTTCCAATTTCCCACCTTTTATATGTATGTATTGCGTGTAAAAATATCTGTGATATATGTGTAAGAATCATGTACGCAACCGAGGAACCCAACGGAAAAGAATATATCTGAAATCTGTTAAACCAGTTAAAAAGTTTTGTAGAAATATGAAAAGACTCTGTGCCGTCGCGACGATGAAAAAATTATACCCTAAAACTTAAAGACCCGCAAAAAGTTTGGTAAAAGATTAAAAAAAAAAAAAAAAAAAAAAAAGGTTATGCCACCACGGCAGTCATTGGGGTGGGTTTCTCAGCTTCCGTTGGTAATTGCCTTTCCCGTTCTTCTTCCCGGAGCATATGGTTCTTCATCCAGTTGACGGCATTCGTGCACCAGGGATCCACATAGAGAGTCCACGCATACGCAGCCACGTACAGGATGGCATAGAAGACCGGGAGAATGAAGACAAACGCCATTCCGTTCGGGTGGCGCAACTGAATGATTTTACCCTCATCGTTTGTCTTGGGCGTCGTAGCTGACGCATAACCGTAAGTCAACCACACCAGAACGGTTCGCATGAGGCTATTGTGAATTAGGTAGACGGCAAATGAGGCACGGCCGAGAAAGTTGAAGAGGGGAAGTGTTAGGAATTTTCTCGCATTGCGGGAGAAGAAGATGCCGACCATCAGGATTGTGGTGCCAACGGAAACCCAGTAGCGACTGTAGTCGGTGTTGGAGGGGGTTATTTGTTTGATCAACTCTTTCATGATGCGGGACCAGTAGACCCATTCAGCGCTGTGTTCGGGGTAGCTGCATATGTATAGGCCAATGATGATAATTAGGGACGGGACAGGTTTGGGGAGAATGGAAGTGGCCCGGTGGCCAAGGTCGACTTGGAGTTGTGCAAGCATGAGGCCTGCAAAGATGTTGATGCCGACAACATCTACATTGAAAGTCAGCTGGGAGTTCTGAAAAGACAGAAGGGTAGATATGCTTACAGTCTCCTATAACCCAACACCAGATGTAAAGAAATGCAGTGACGACACGCCAATACCGGGTCGACAGAAGCATCATGGCTAATAGAGCAAGATATACACGGAACGAGCCATGGAGGAAATATACAAGGGTCCATTGAGTGGCATCATATTCACCAGGGCCTGCGTTCCAAAAGAGAGTCAAGTCAATGAACAGTTTGTACAGGGCCTCCCAGACTGAAGCATCTGGGGGCCGTGCACCCCACCGAATCCACGCCGCATCGATCCGTTCAGCCATTGCGAAAGCATGAAGTTGACAAAGCAGCCATGCCATACATGTTGCAATGCCGGTTGGCAGCAACAGTCGTCCAGAGCGAGTAAATGTACTTCGTGCAAGATTGGTCAGGGCGACGGTGGTGTTGCCGGAGCGGGCATTCTTGACTGACTGGAGTGAGTTGACGAAGCCGGTGATGATGAAGAAGAGAGCCACACAGGCACGTCCGCCAACGATAAGTCTTAAGAATGGGAGCTGCAAGAGAGATGGAGAATCACCCTCTTTGTTGCTTGCGTGAAGTAAATAGGGAAAGAAAGATGTGCATATATGGCCGGTAACGACGATGAACGACGCAATACCGCGGAGACCCTGGAGATGCGGAAAATATATCAGCGTTGTCAAGATGTAATTTTAAGATAGATTGGCAATATATGTGAGAAGAATACACATACGTCGATCCAGTTGTTGTCTCTTTTTCTTGTGGAGGACATGGCAGTGGTCATGAAGGAGTCAATGCGAAGGAGAATGGAGCGCAGAGCAGAGAAGGGGAGGCAAAGCCGGGCAAACATTGGGAAGAGGCGTGGGTTATATATATCATCAGAAAGGGTAGATATATGGCAACGGGACTCTATCTATCAGTAATGATGATATCCGTCATTTGGGTGGACGATCCGCTCTGCAGGTCGAACAGGAGCCGGCGGGTATTTCGCATAGGCAAGGAGAGACTCTGAACAACAACAACAACAACAATGGCGGAAACAGGAACGGTATGCAGGACGTATGGAAATAACAATAAGGAGCGAAAGAGGCCTCAGCAAGGTACGGTGAGGAGAAAGTAGATAAAAGGAGAAATAAATAAATAATTCACAAGACAGGGAGAAGACGACGGAGTGGAGCACAAGCATCGAAGATGTGGATAAAGCGGCTTGAACATTTCATGTCCTGGCTTGCCATGGGGTTTTGGACCCAGTGGGGATGCTGAACGAAAATAAAACATAAATGTCATAACCTCCATAGTGAGCTATTGCAATGTTAATGGAAGAGAGGGTGTCAAACGGTGCGTCGTTTTATGGTTTCGAACGGCTTCGAACCATCCTGACTCCTCGATGCTCGGCATTGAAACAGCCTCCACACCTTAACCGCATCTAACACGCCAGCCAACTCCCCGTCATTTGCCCTCAAATGAGCCCGAACAAGCCTTCGGTACACGCCGCAATCCACACTGTGACACCACATTGGTTGTTGATCTGCAGATCATGTAGAAACGCAGGAGGACATTGCATCTGGACCGTCCGTAAAAATCTTCGGTGTGGTGTAAACGTTCAGGTTCCATGACTCTCACATTGAAACCAACCACCCCTAACAAACCGCATCCTAACCTTACCCCTACACCCCGGTGTTGAGGACGGTGAGGTTGAGTAGAGATGGAGTAACTAGCCATTCTGTGGGGTATGAATGAGCAAGAGCATGGAACGTTGTGTTTATTGTAGGTCATTGATATTAAAAAGTGGACCCCAACTGATGAACCAACCTTCCACTGCAAACCCGCAGGACATGCATGCAATGAATGAATCACTGTATCGTCTCTCCCTCGCGCTTTGGGGTAACTAGGCAATTCCCTCCGACAATCGGCTGGATATTATTTTAATATGCTATAATTATTGACTCTGCCACTCGACACACATGGCCCCCTAGAGAGAAAAAGTTAAATGAATTCCTCCACTTCGGTTGTACACTTCAGAATCGGGGATAAAACTCAGGAGGGTGCATTAGTTTCGAACGCCATTCCATGGAAAACCTTCCACCCTACAACTGCGGATCGTGGGTCAGTGTCTTAGTTCCAAGGCTAGCAACCAACCTGGGCGCAGGTACCATGGCACAAAAGCTTTGAAGTGAACAGCTCAAAGGTTGAATGAACCCTTGGGATCTCCGGTTTAAGGTGCTGAAAGCACGGAGCAATGTGGTCTGGACCGATTAACTCTTGCCGAGACAGACCCACATCCCTTTCATTCAGCACTCTTCAACACTGGCGATATTCTCCTTTTTAACCGGTATTAATGTATTGGCAGCGTTTCTCGCCTTGACAGGTTCTTGTTGGGAGGGAGGTAGGAGGAGAAGTGAACAACAGGAGGAGAAGATGAAAAGAAAGGTGAACTTTAGAAAAGCGATGAAATCCAAAGAAAAGAAAACCTGCAAATAAATAAATAGATAGATATAGATATATAAAAACAAGAAAACAAAAGGGGAGCGGAGTTGATTCAAATTCTTTCTTTCTTCTTCAATGGAGCTGGAAATTCTCCTCTACGCCATATTAAGTTATGCTTTACATTAATATTGTCTCAAGAGAGTCGGTTAGAAAACTTCAATACATATGATATACATGGTCTAAGCCTCAAGTAATGTTTCTATTTATGACGAACTCTTTTTTTTTGAAGAACATTTTCCTTTCTGTCCTTTTTTCCGGGAGAAGGTCTGGCTAATCATTATTATTTATTTATTTAATTATTTATTTACTTACTTAACTTATTTTTGGTAGGGCGTGTAAGTATTATTGAATCATGATTCTCCAATAAGGAATAATGACATCAAGTAAATTCCAATTCACTGTTTTTCTATATTATATACACTGAGCGGATGGGAATCATGAGAAAGCTAGTGGGATACTACACCAATCATACCGGGATTTAATGTTTGAAAGGGAGAGATTCACGCTGCAAAAAGGAGCAGAATACGGCCTGCAGGGTAGAGCAAGCCAGCAAAGATTAAACCCTGAAACTCCACGCTGGTGGCCTGCAAAAGTCCTGCACAGCTTAGCAGACAAAAAGAGACAAGGAAAAGAGACCAAGCAGCCAGGCTAGTATTTCGTCCTCTTTATCTACAGAGGACCAAGAGAATCACACACGAGTCAAAAAAATAAAAAAAAAAATAAAAAAAATCGACATATATATAAAGGTATATGACACTCCTACCGTAGACCATTACTGCCAATGTACAACTCAAGCAGCGCCTTCGTGGCCGACGCCGCTGTCGCGGCGGCGAAGTCCTGCCAAATCTTATTCTTGTGGCTGTCTGCGTAGTCGCACACTGCCTTGACGACAATGCAACAGGGTAACTCGTCCCATACTCCGGCACTCTCCATCTCGAATGCAAGGAGACCGTGGCGGTTGGCGATCCTGTCACGGTCCTCGCTAGATTTCATCACCGTATCGCCTGATCCGATGCTCCCGATAAATATCGAGGGGGCCTGGGCTTCTTTGATGCACTCCTCTTCCTCGAGTTGTCGTTTGTATTCGAGGCGCTCGCGTCGGACGAGGTGTTTGTGATCGCACCCAAGCTCATCGCATGTCTGGTGGCGGGAGTCCTTGCAGGCGTGGGTGGATGGCCCGTTGTTGTTATTGTTGTTGTTGTTGTTGCGGTGGAGTTTTGAGCAGAGGCAAGGCGAGGGCAGCAGATGGTGTTTGTGCTTGTAGTTGGCGTGGAAGAGCTTGTCTTGCAGAGCGCCTGGATACCGGTATCTGGCACCCCGGCGAGGATTCCGAGTTGCGGACTTTATTTGTATCTCTTGCAGATGACCGGTTGTGCTGTCCTCGAGTCGCTGTCGCACCATGTCCGTCTCAAATATTGCTAACAGGTTGCGTAGTTTTTTCGGCGCTCTGCCAAAGCTATCATCCACCGTGTCCCTCACTGCGAACCCATCATCATACTTTCTCCCGAGGTCGTACTGAACGATGTGCCTGCTGATAACTACATCACCAAGGAGAAGCTCATCATCTTCTCCCGGACGGGGCACGCCGCCGCATATTCCAGTAACAAGGGCTACTCTTAAGCTAGGGAAGCTGTATCGAAGGCTGGCTGATGTACCGGCCGCACTGACTTTCCCCATATTTGAGAGAAGGACAAGCACCACGTTGGATTTTCCAATGCGCCCGGTCGTGTATATATTTGGATCTCCTTCGGCGCTTCCGAACTCCTCATCCCAGAACTCGTCGAATATTAATGATACAGCGTCAAATTCAAGTGGCAGGGCGCATACTATCGCTATCTCAAAGTCACTGCGGCTTTTAGGGCAAGCGATCCTCCTGGGGAGCGACTTTATGGGTCGGTGCAGCAGCCCTTCCTGCGGTCCCTTATCAGTTGTTGGAGACGAGATTAAAAGCGTTTTCGAGAGCGGAAGGTCGGATACTGAATCCCGTCGTTTCCGCTTCGAGATTTGTGGGTTCACCATGAGTTCGAGATTCCGTACAATGTTCTCATAAATGGCCTTCCGCAACACCTCGCTGGCAGTTGAACCACTGGTTTGCTCTTGAAATTTCGGCAGCGCCATATGTAGATATAAACAACCTTCCACAGCTTGAAGATAGTTTCCGTTTCCTTCTCTTTCTGCTACATTCACAAATGCGCACATTTCTCCCCATTTTGACACATTTGTTTTGCTATCGGAATGGATCTCCATCGATAACTTCTCGCCATTCTCGATTTCTAGCAGAAGCTTAGCAAACGAAAGTAGGATTGGGTTACCGGGTCCTACTGTCTTGAGCAAGTCAGGCGGCTTGGGACCCGAGAATTTCGGCTTGAGCGATATGTACAGCACGCGGTCACTGGCATTGGCACCGGAAGGACGTAGAAAGTACAAGGTTTCTGGTCTCCAACTGTGAGAGGCCAGTTCCAAGTCCTCATCGAAGAAGTCCATAAGACACCTTGCAAGCGAGAGGGCAAGCGTCGCTTTCTCTCGTGAACCAAATTTCTCCACCGCTACCCCTTCTAAATAGTCACGAGCGGTGATCCGCGTGAAAACCTTTTGATTTAGGAGTTCCTCGAGGGACTCCGCGGTAAAGCTCTCTGAAGACAAAAGTATCGGAGGGATTTTATCTGAGATGTCAAAAGATCCGCGTTGGTCGACAAATAAGTATAGTTTTCTTCCTTCGTTTGCCCGTTGGATTGCTGCACATATGCTCCCTTTCTCGGTTTCATCAACCATTATCCTACCTATTGGTCAGACTGAGAGCCACGAAATCTTATGGTGAGGATGACAGCCTTACTTAAACGAGCCGCATTTGGCCTGTTGCCAAACGCCCCTCTCCATACACCGGGAAATGAACATATCCAGAGCAGGTCCATCCGAACCTGTTTGCCACTCCTCAGACACTTTCAGTTTGATCTCGTGTGTTTCTCCACAACTCCGCTGCCGAAATTCGTTGAATATTGCGTTGATTACAATGCTCGCGCGCTTCTGGTACATGTCAGACTGGTTCTGCGCTGCTGCAACACCCGTCATGAATTCCTCCTGGGAGAGGCAAATGGGTTGAGGGCCCAGAGATTTCTGTGTGCTAGCCATGAGACGCTCTAAGTATGCTTTCCGTTCAGCCACTCGACCCAATGCAATGGTGCCAGCCCGTCCCTGAGGAAGCATGAACAGCAATGGGCCAGACCCTGTCGTTAGATTGCACTTATCCGATGAGGCATTCAAAAAGCAGATTAGGCCACTTAATTTTGGGTACTTGTCACCAAGTATTGTAATGTCGTGAAGACCCGTATCAGACGACTTGGATGTTTTACCGACTGATTCTATGAGGGTGCTATTGACCATATCATTTAGCGAAGCCAGCAGATCCTGTGCAATCCGGTCCATATCATGGTAATCTTGCTCTGAGAAATCGACACCCACAGGGGTTGTTTTAAAGATGTAGCGAAGATCCGCCTCTAAGAAAGCAGCGTCATTCTCCCATTTACTGGGGCGGCTGCCGACTGGTACGCCCCGAGGAAGACTCAACAATCTGCCGGTCAATCGTGATTTGAGCGCTTGGAGGCCATTCCACCCCAGCGACTGGGTTGGAAGCATCGTTGGATCGCCTTACCTTTGCTCCGTTCGTCGTGTGTTGGCAGCATGGAGAGAGGAACGGAGGAAGTGATGTTAATTACCACAGGAAGCACACACAGCCTTGCCAAGTTGGTGTTCTGCAATTGCGTTAAGCGCGAGCCTTGTCCATGCAGCCGGCGGAGGGGGGTTCTGATTTGGCATCGCCTCTCATCTTTTCGTCGCCAGCCTCGATTCGTCAAACGCTACAACTCCGCCCAAATTGCTTCTTCTCAAGCACGGCCGCTAGGTTCTAGTTACATGTCTAGTTAACCAGTTTCCCAAACGTAGGCTCCATTTGCTAATAATGGATATCCCACTTCGTCACGTGGGTTCGACCACTCCCCACTCCGCTAACTTCCAAGATTCTATACAGCTTTTGATATGCCGTGCAAAGGAGTGTTTCAAGTGAACACAACAAAGACGTCTAGAAAATTGCCTGGGGATGGCCCTTAGAGCCACTGGCCTCTGAGGGTTGCCCTTCTCGGTTCAGCTGGCGTTTATCATGCTCCGCGCTCTGGGCCTCAGATTCCCAGCGCAAACCCATCTGGAGCAATCTTCTGTAACGGATGAAGTCGTGCCCAAGGGCTTTGCTTGCTCCAGCTGCCGTTGTTGTACCAACAACTATGGAGGATATCAGACATGAGGAACCGATATTTGACCTCGCTTCTGAATGTGAGAAGTTGTTTGCTTCGCAGATTTCAGCATTAAATGGCCGTAACGAGGCAAACGGCGCAAAATGCCTGGGGGAGCTGAATCACCGGTTTGCCGCTTGGGCGGGCTTCTTAGGAGTCTTCGCTGAATCGAGTGTGTGTTTGGACCGCAGACTCAGGCACCATGCTGAGATCCAAGACCAAGTGCTCCGGCTTCTGGATATCATGCGCAGGAATTTAACATACGGTTCCATTCCCCCGCTTCCCCAGTTATTATTCAGAGCTAACACCATCGATAGTACTTGAACGGGATGGTGACTCCCCTGATCGCATGCAAATTCAATTATCTGACCGCAACAGAAGAAATGGGGAAAATATGAAAAATTTGAACGAATTTCAATTTGCCCAGCCGCTTCGCGTGAATATCTCTAGCTTGGAGGCAATTTCGGGCGCTGTAGAACGCCTCAACCATCTTGGAATTGCAATACGACAGTCCTCAGTGACAAGCCAAATGACAAAGGCCAGAAAATTTGCGGAGACATTCAACTTCACTTCTTTCGAAGAAGTAGCGTATCTATCTCTCAGAACACTCTATAGCAACGCAAGTGAAAGCCTTCTTGAACAACTTACCCGGTCCATGATGGAGACGTATGCTTTGTTTCTTCATCGCAAATCTCGCCAAACGCGGCTTCAAGCTCCTCGATCACTCCCGCTTACGCCAATACCGCTATCCGCTATCACCGAGGAGCCGATTGCTGATATGGATGGGGGAGATCCCATGGAGATTGACGGACAAGTACACCTACCTCAGCCAAGCAAGGACTTGACTTCTATTAGGATATTTCGATCGCGCCCAGCCCAACCGGTTCGCACGATAGCTCAGTCTGAACCGACCTCCGTAGACAGTCACGAATTCAGAGCAAGGATCAGGAAAAAGCTGAATCCTTCGATTAAAAGCAAGACAATGTCCATCCTGGCCAACCATGCAGATTACCCCCAGCCGGCCAAAGGAAGCTTGACTTGTGAATGGTGCTTTAGTCCTATCGTAGCTAGTTTATTGGAGGGACCAAATTGGCGGTACGAAAAATCTTATCTGGTTCTTTCATGTTTATATCGAATATCTTTTGTACACTTCTGATCCTGACTCTTAATAAAAAATCTATAGGCAACATGTGAATGAAGACCATGAACCTTATGTGTGCATCTCTGAGAAATGCTCCGAGGCGCTACCCAGATTTGCGACTTCGACCCAGTGGTTCCAGCACATGCTCACAATTCATGACAGGAACTGGCACCGGGAAGTGCATGCACCGTCCTCGTGGTCTTGTCCTTTGTGTGTCGATGAAGATGCTACTTTTCCTAAGTCGGACGATTTAACTGCCCATCTTATTGATTTTCATGAAGGAACCTTTACCAGGCCACAGATCGATGCCATCGTGCACCAAAGCCGGTTTCGTACCTCTCGCCCTCAGGATACGTGCCCTCTCTGCTGTTTGCCCATGAAGACCCAGCTGGACCTTTCATCTAAGGAAAAAGGAGATGATAATGGAGATCCGTGTCCTAAGGAAACGACCCATGAGGAAAACGTTGGACATAAACGAATCAAAACAGAGACCGGCCGGGCTCAGCCCGACCATAACGAAGGAGATACCCTTGAATTGAAAGCAAAACTGAAACCAAATACCCTGGTCGACCGGTCTATTAGCAAATCCCTTTCTGTCGAAGTGGTTGGGAGCCATATAGCAGCACATCTCCAAGGCATAATGCTTCTCACATTGCGCTTGATATCAATAGATATTGGGATTGACGTTTCAGCAGATAATCAAAGTACATCTGGCGGTACTGACCATAATTCATCCTGGGTTAGCTCAAGCAAGGGAGACCCGGGTCAGGATATGGGCAAGATAGAACACTTCCCGCAACCAATAAATGATGATAATGACCCAGGCGATGACATTCCTTTCGAAGATGTGGTCCCAGACTCAGAATATACCAATTGGCACAACGTTCCCCGCGCTCATGATGATCTGTTGGAAGAAAATATTCTAGAGAATGAGCTGATTCGCTTAGGAATCGTTCAGCCACGCCCATATGGGTCAAAGCATTCCTTACCATCGCGAGCCGTTCAGAGTGAGGATAAATTGAAAATATTACAGAAAAATAGGTCTCGTCTCGGGGTCATTCAAAAAATCGTGGATGCTGAGGTCCGTTTTACAAGGGAAATGACAATCGTTAATGAAATTTACAAGGCTTCGTCTAGTGCCTGTTTGGAGCTTTCCGCAGATGACGTGAAAGTCCTATTTGGGAACTCGGAGGAAGTGTTAAGCTTTTCTTCGGGCTTCCAAACGGCACTTAAGAAAGCTGCTGAGAGTGCGTTCACGCCACGAGAATCACGTAATATAGAGACCACCAAACTACACGGTGACGATGAGGCTTCAGAGAAATCACATACAACAGAATTGGATTTTTCTACGTTTATCGGTAGAGCTTTCATGGAACATCTTCCTCACATGGAAAAGGTCTATTGGCGATATCTGAAGAACAACGATGCAGCCAATAATAGACTCAGGACTTTGCAGAGCAATAGCAAGGTTTCGAACTGGCTTACTGAATGTTATGAAGGTTCGTTTGACATGACAACGGCAGGTCTTGACTCACTACTCATCAGACCTGCGCAACATCTCTTACAGTATTCAATATTATTGGACGAGCTTCTTCAGTGGACGCCGAGTGATCACCCGGATTGGACCTGTCTTACTGAGGCGGTTTTCAAGCTCAAAAGTCTTCCTGCTCATATCGATGCTGTAAAGAAGCGAGATGACATTGTAAACCAGACTGTTAACCAAAAGCGCAAAACACTGGATGTGAAAGCGGGATTGAACAGGGCATTTGGACGACGCACAGCTACACTTGCAGATATATCCGATCCAGAGAAAGAGTTTAGAGATAAGGATTGTGATGTTTTGACTCAAAAATTGGGCGAGAGCTTCTTCCAGATGCAGCTTGTGATGATGGACGTAAAGAAGTATACGGCTGAAGTTCAGAGCTCGACTGACCGTCTCAAGCAGATTGTTAGTGCAATTGCGGAATTCGTCTCCGTGATGCCAACGAATTATCCAGGCCTGGTGAGCAAATGGGTGCGCTGGAGATCTTGTATGCAAGGTATCATATCAGGAGCTCTGGTCGATCATGTAAGCCCTCTGATCACTCCTGGAGACTTATGGTATATTCTGACACATTTAATAGATCACTTTAGTTCGAACGACAATTATTGAACCGTTAGATGCAGCTCTTAAGCTTCATAGTAAACCCCAGGCGGTCAGCCAGGAGCGCACCATGCGGTTTCCACAATACGTCCGCTTCAAGGTTGCTAAAGGACGAAATATCAAACTAGATAAAAAGACCACAGAGAAAGCCCAGCAGTTTATCGCATTGAATGAGACTCTTAAAGATGAACTCCCGAAATTCTTTACTCTCTGCGCTCGATTGGTGGAGACGTGCTTAAAGAATCTTGTTCACATCCAAAATGGCTGGTTCCGGCAGCTGGAGACTGAACTTGGCACTGTTATCGATTCACCCCCAGTCGATATCCCAGCGATCATCCATGAATGGTCAGCCGACTTTAGCTTTGCGGAAGCTCAAGTTCTTTCGCTTGGGATGTGCAACGGTTCCATTTTGGCTGAACAGCCCAATTCACTTAACCCCCTTAGCAGAATCAACACGGGCTCAACGGAAGCAATAAGCAGCCCGTCCCGGCGACCTTCTACCGCCAACAGCCGCAGCGTGCGTGATCCAGTTTCTCGATCTCGACCATCTTACCGAATACCAGATCTCCTCTTTGGCGAAGTAGGGGGCCCGTCATCATTTGACCCTGCTGCATCTTCGCGGATGAGCACGGACACCACATCCAGCCTGCCAAAGTTGACTCTCGATACTCCATTCTCAGTCGAATTCCCTGACTCCTCAATCAAGCCAAGAGATAGTTTGCCCAAGCAACGGTCTGGTCAATATTTTGAGTCATCTTCGCGATCGCTAGCGGGAGGCAAACTGCAGACAGACAAGGGATTGTCGGAAAGCAACAGGGAGCGGTCTCCGGCAGAACCTGAGGACGGGTTCGAGGTCCTATTTATCGTTGCCAGTATCTTTGAATTCCATAATTCTCGTGCGTCACAGGTTGTCTCTGGATACCAGTATCTGCAGTATGACGCAGGCGAGGTTTTTGACGTATTTGCCGAAAAAGGGGAGTTATGGCTTGCCAGGAACCAGGATGATCCCGATCGTATGATTGGTTGGATATGGACCAAGCATTTTGCTAAACTCTCACAATGCTGAGTTCGGTTTTTTCTATTATTTTATTTTATTTTTTATTTATTACCTTTGTTCACATGTAGTTACACGCAAAGGAGCTAACCTTGGTGGCATAATTCCCATAGAAGATCCTCTACTATTATCAATTTGTACACCGCTTAAACGGAGGTATGCGGCATCATCTATCAGATAATTACCCCTACTATGATAGAATAGAATATTTATTCAATAGTCTGTGCTTAGAGCATTTTGATGAGGAAGTTATGGTAGCTCTAACGTCGTATTCATACGCATCTACAGGATGCAAAACCATGGACTCTTATTCTCCCAAGTAGCTAACTAGTGATTGGAAAACAAGGTATTAACCACCGGAGCAGGCTTTTTGCTGGAAACAACAAAGTCCTATCATTATCAAAAAAAAAAAAGAAAAAGAAAAAGAAAAGAAAAAGAAAAAGAAAAAAAAGAAAAGAAAAGAAAAGATTTTTTTTTTAATCTAAGGTTTTACTTTTAGGTGAAATGTTTGTGTTTGGGGACGTTAGTTGCTCACTGGTTTGGCTCATCCAGCAGCAACATTCTCAAGGCAGAAGCCGGGAAATGCTGCAGACCATAGACGCCACCACCCAGACATGCACATAAGTAGACAGACGGATACGCGGTCATCCACGTGACAAGCACTCTAAACATCTAGTTCTAGACATCGTTGGCTTATTTTGGAATCATATAGAACGTAGTTCCGTGGAAAACAGTAAAATAATGGGTAGGTTGTTCATGTATAGATGCAACCAGCGTGCGCTACTCCCCGCACCAGAACATCAGAGGTGAAAATTGATCCAGGTGAATCATCAAAAAATTGCACAAATTATGTGAATGGAAACAGGAGGAGAGCAGCACCCAGGTGTGTATCAACTACAAACGACAGAATAGAAATATGTATCTATATTGCCGTTCGTTCGTTGGGTGGTTGCGCTAGAGCAACGAAAAAAGGGAAAAGCTATAATAAAAGATTTGCTCTGGGGAGGGGACGGTAAGACATGCTTCATAGTAACTATACGCTATATGCGCATAGGAGGTAAAAACTTTATATATGAACCAATTTCACCCCCAAAAAATAATATATATATATATGTAAACAATAAATACCAAGAAGAATAGACAAGAATAGGCAAGAATAAAAATAAAGGGAAAAATATGTACAGGCCACTCGTCGACGTGTTAAAAGCTCACCCAGTGAGCTAGCCGGAGGCCAATTACAACCCCCCCCCACAAAAAAAAAAAAAAAGATGAAGATATGTAGCCAAAACAGAGATATAAAAACATCTCCCTCGCTCAAATAGAGGAGCACTGGACATCCAACCACTTTGTAAAGACAGCAGTCGGCTCCTCCACATAACGGTGAAACACCTCCGCGAACCAGCACGAGAGCAAAATCGTCAGCGTCCCGCCGATAGCGAAAGTCAACCCGTACTGGAATGTCGTTTGGTAGCCGAAGACAAAATACAGCCACGGCATGATCGGGTACAGGAAGAACTTGAGCATGATGGTGTGCGTCAGGTAGAGTGAGAAGGAGAGGGTGCCAAGGTAGAGGAAGATGGGGCGGGTGAAGAAGTGCTGGACGGATGAGAGGCCCGTGATGGCCACGATGAGGATGACTGTGCCGACGGCGTCCCAGAAGCGATAAAAGGCCGTGTAAGTTCGCGGCGCGTACCATTCTAGCACTGCGAAGGACCAGGCGTTCCAGATATCTGCGGCAGGGACGCTAAGGATCCATAGCCCCAGGATCATGCTGAAGACTATGAACCATGTCGGTGGGGTGTAGTGGGTAGCAGTCTTGAATTTTGAGTCTGCGTTATCAACTTTGGTGGGCAGCTGCTGGCTGTATTCGGCTGCCTCCTCCTTGATTATGTCTAGTTCAGTGAGGAATGCGCCGGCAAGAAAGAGGAATACGTCCCATTTCTCAAAGGTGAGAGTGTAGAGGGAGAACAGGGCGTTGAAAGACAGGCGGGTCTTGCTGGAGCATCTTGCGAGAGCGGAGTGGACGAGAAATAAGACCATCGAACACCGGAATTCAACAGGGATGGTCCATAGTTGGTAGGCGTAGGGAGAGTTTTGGCTGAAGTTTTCCCAGTTGAACGGCCAGAAGAGCGGCGGGATGGTTTTGCACCAGAGCCAGAATTGGCGGAAAAAAGTCGGTTCCTGCGGGACCATGTTGAAGGTGTGGTATGGGATTTTGTCATCTGCGAACTTGGCGACTGGTGGGAAAAGATTGAAGCTGATCATGAACATGGGGATGAACGTTGCAATTATGGAGGGGATGTACAATCGGAAGATGCGACGGAAGATCTTGGAGCTCAAGTCCAGCTGTAGCGGGCCCCAAGATTGGCTTCGGCATTTCCTAATCGTCCCGAGAGAAAGGACGTAGCCGGAGATAAAGAAAAAGATAGTTGGTTGACCTGTGTAGAGAAGACGGAAAAAGGGGAGTTGGAAGATAGAATCGCGGCCTTCGGTCCCATTGTAGGCATATGATGAGTTTGGGAAGAATCCCAAGACCATGTGTAAAACTACCACACCAATCGCAGCTAGCCCACGAATGCCATCTAGATATGCTGTTTTCCCAACCGGCCTCGATAGCTTTTTGGACCCTGGCTTGATCTTATTTTGGACGATTGCTGGAAGGAATAAAAACACTGCGTGGGCAATTCGCCCCGGGCCGGTTGACCGCAGACCGGTCATGTTTCCCGTTGGGTATTAGAATCTGAATAATGACGTCGGACCAGAAACGACTGATGAAGAATCAGCGTGTTCAGAGATGAATTAGAAATTATTAATTCTAAGGAGAGAGACAAGCAGAATGCAGGCACCATCTCACGGCGAAGACCCAAAAACACGAAGACGACAACGGTCAAAAAGAAGCCGGCATTCAACAAGGGAATACCAAAAAGAGATCAACAAGAATAGCCACGTAGACGAGCAAAGGTCGAGGAAGAGAGGGCCAGGACATTAAGGAGAGACCTCTATGATCATCCATAGAGGGGGGGTATCTTCAGCTTTGCTCTGAGTGGAACCGGCGTACACCTTTTTTTTTTTAAAAAAAAAAAAAAAAGTAACTAATATAAAAGAATTGAAATAATAAAAAGTCCGGGACCGGGAGTCTTCCCAACATGCTATTATTGCTTTCCCCATTTTTATTTCATTGGAGGAAAAGGAATGGGACAAAGTTGCCACAAGATATTGAAGGGCAGTCAGTCCTCTTGTGTCCCTTTAGGCCCAGTTCATAGTCAGCCAAAATACCTGATGCAAGCAAAACATCTGGCTAGGCTTGCGCAACGAGTCCACATCACGTCTCAGTGTGTGGGGAGTTGCTTGGTCGAGGCTTGATAAATAACCACGGCGCTCGTTCCTAGGCAAAGCCTCTGGGTTCTTTTGGCGAGCCGACGATTGAACTTGTTAAGTTAAGCGAGCCACATCAGTCAGCGATCAGTCAGCGAGCCATGTCAAGGATCTGGCAATGATTCATGTATTCGCTGAGTCGCACACATTCTCTTTCTATCACCTATTTTACTAGCAGTTGGTTAGAAGATAGATGCAAGGGAATAATACAGATCAGTTTGATACAGCTTAGCTATTGAGATATCCCGACGGTTGTGAGCCCGGTAGCCCCCCAGTAGTTAGCCATCGGACCTTGCACCCGGTTAAAAACAGTCATCCAAAAGCAACCTACCAAGCCGCCCAATATCCACAAAAAAAACGCGCGTTTACCACCAAAATGGCAGAGGAGCAGACAGTTACGAGAATGACTGTCACCTTGCAGACTCCCAGGGATTGGCAACTGTGGACTGTGGTACAAATATATAAAGGACGCAGCCCGCCAACGGAAGGTACTAGACTTTATTGACATAGAAGAAATGGCAAGATTCAGTGAACTCCCAGAACCGAAGGCACCGATATTGCCAAATCTGTCATACGATGATGCGAATTACGCTTCAGTGAAGTCCCAAGTCGATATGCAGAATGCAGATTTTTTGGACCAAGCTTGATGCATATGACCGCAATCTAGCTGGAATCTCTGCCATTCGAGACCTGATCTGGAGAACGGTTGCAGCTAAGGAACTAGCTCTCATTGAGGATAAGGACGATGTAAGGATCTAATTTTGGCATTGAAAAAATAGGCTCTGCCCCAATTGAAAAAGACCGTCAGCTAGAGCTTCAAATGAGATATATGAATCTCAAAAGGACACCAAAAAATGAGAAGTTGAGAAGTGGTTGGATGAGTGGTCACAAATAGAGAGTGATCTAAAAGAGGCGGGAATTTTGGCCCAATTCAATGTCAAGCACGACTTTTTAAACACCATTATACCTTTGAATCCAGCATTCACAGAGACGTGGTTAAGAGAGGTCGACAAGGATACAGACAAAAGCTGACCTTAGATGAGATCTTGCTGTTAGCAAGGAGACAACATAGGGAGATTGGCATAACAAAAGACCTAAAAACACCTGACGTTATGATGCCGTTGACGCCGGAGATCTCACTCACCCAAAGTTACCAGCTCCCCAACCTCTGCAAAACGCGCCAATGAGATTAGTGCTGATTTTGACGAGTCCAATATACTGCCTGGACCTCGAACGAGACGATCTTCCCATTTGATTGCTGTTAATATGACCAAAAAGCACCCAGAATTGGCTATACACGCTGTCTTTGCAACTTTAAAAGCCTGATTTGAATCCAAAGATTCATCGATCCACGTTGCCAAAACCACCGGAATACTGGAGGAATCTGCATGACCATTCATACAAAGATCAATTCATTGATGCCGCAAAATGGAAATGGCAAGCTATGACTGAGAAGAATACGTACAAGATTGTTAACATACCTGCGAATCATGTCTCAGTTCTTCCTCTAAAACGGGTGTTTACATATAAATTTGACGATGATGGATAGCTCATGAAAGTCAGAGCAAGAATCTGTGTTCGAGGAGATCTACAACCACCTAACGCCCTAGACACCAGAGCTCACACGCTCGCAGCGC